TCTGAAGTATTTTTTGCATATACAAGACATGTACATGTAGGTACATGGGCTTAATTACTCATCTTCTCTGGACCCCGAACGGATGCCTAAGTTTATGCGGCATTGGAAAGCACCTTCGGAAATGCCATCACCATTTCCCAAACATGTGGGGCGAATATAATTTCTCCAATTCAATTGAATGAAGATTTCCATTTGCGTAACAGAATTTCCACAAAAGTGGGACAAATAAACTGTAATTACATAAGAGATTGAAGATTTTCACATTTCCATTTGCGTAACCAAGAGATTTTCACAAAAGTGGATCTGCAAAGTCATGTTGGTTAGAATCCCTGTTCATCAGAAATAAAAACATTTGTACCAAAAAGGAATGCAAGAATTCAACCTCTCTGTTATAATTTTAAACTATAAAAAGCTACCAATGCAAAATGCACAAATAAGTGCCTCAAATTGGTTTTGGAAAAGTAACAATTTTGTGTTTTTTGGTAAGTTAATATTTTCAGTTTTTGAGCAATGGTTACTTTATGGTTTATTAAGAGTCTATAAATAAGTGTTTTGTATAGGGGTTTGTGTGGAGAGAAAAAGTGGAGAAAAAGCGAGTGCCTCCATTTGAGAGAAAGAGAGAAGTTTGAGAAGAGAGATAAACAAAGGGTGTAAGAGTTTTGGGTAGAGAGAGAGATTGAGAAAATTGTTGAGTCTGTAATTCTGAAATTGTTAGTGATTTTTTTCTCTCTTTTTTAGACGTAGGAAATTTTTTCGAACCACCAAAATCTTTGTATTATCTACTTTTCTGTTATTTATCTTTCTATTTATTTTTCCGCTGCGTGAGTATAAGAGTGTGTTTTTCCCCAACAAGAGAAAAGTGCGGTATGAGGGGGGAGATTGTTGAGAAAAGTGCATGTGTGTGTTGTCCCACGTGGAAAGTGGATGAGAATGTAAAATAATTTATATACATGGAAGGACCTTAGACCCGATATGTTAACATTTTGGGTCAAATTGGGCTGTTGAAGTGTGTTAGGCCAGTTTCACATGTGGAATCTCTCCAACACTCCAAGTGTACGATGGATTGTAGCCCACCTCCACATCAAGGATTGTGGTATGAGGAAAATATTTTGCTTTAAACACACGAGCCACCAAAGAGTCAGGAATATTCTGAATTAATCTCCAGCTTTGCATGGCTAGAAGGGCTTGATTGAAAGCAGTCAAATCCCAAAAGCCTATCCCACCTTCCCCCTTAGGTTTACAAAGCCTCTCCCATCTCATCCAGTGAATCCTCCTATCATTCTCATCTCCACCCCACCAAAGCCTCGAGATAAGGGCTTGAGTATCACTACATAGCGATTGAGGAATATAGAACACACTGAGTGTATAAGTAGCGGTTGCTTACACAACTGCTACAATAAGAATCTCTCCTTGCCATAGAAAAGAACTTCCCTCTCCACAAGTGTAATTTCCTCACCACACTATCCTTCACCATATTGAAAGTAGCCCTTTTATTCTTCCCCACAAAGGAAGGTAACCCCAAGTATTTGTCATGGGAAATGTTATGATCAGAGAAACCATATCAATTTTGCAATTCCGCTTTAACCTCCTCCTGCACATTCCGGCTAAAAGTAATTTTAGATTTCCGAAAATTAATTACCTAATCCGAAATCTTAGCGAATGAAGAACATCCACAATTGCTCTGCCCTCTTGAGAAGTTGATTTATTAAAAATAATAGAGTCGTCTACAAAAAGAAGATAACCGACTCTAGGAGCATTCTTAGCTATCGCCACCCCTGAAATAAGTCCAGAAGCATCCGCATGGCATAAGAGTGTTGTAAGGCCTTCCACACATAAAACGAAGAGATAAAGAGAAAGCGGGCAACCGCGGCGCACTCTTCGAGATGGTCGGACTATATCCCTTGAGGACATCCCCGAACAACAAAGGACAACGAGGAAGTAATAACACAGTCCATAACTAGGCTTCGAAACCGATCACCAATCCCCAACCACAACATCATTTGCTCTAAAAACGGCCATTCTATTCAGTCATAAGTCTTACTCATATCTAGTTTAAGTCCCATCAAGCCAACTTTCCCACTAACTTTTCGCCGAATAGAATGCAACACCTCAATCGCCACAAGCACATTATCCTATACGAGTCTTCCTAGCATAAAGGCACTTTACTCAGGAGAGATAATGAGCGGCAATATACGTTTAAGCCTATTTGCTAATGTTTTTGAGACAACCTTATAAGTCATATTACAAAGGCTAGTAGGACGATAATTTGATAGAAGTTTGGGATCCTTAATCTTTGGCATAAGAACTAGATTAGTTTTGTTCAAGCATTCCACCAACTCATGGGAATTAAGAACCCGCAAGCAAACCCTCACCAAATCTCCCCCTATCACATCCTACTTCTTTGGAAAAAAAAAGGGCATGAAAACCATCCGGTCTCGGGGCTTTCGTCGGTCCCATACTGAACAGAGCTTTCTTAATTTCTTCTGCAGTAAAAGGTTCGTCAAGCAGCTCTCGCATATCCTCCGAGAGTTTCGATTCCACATTTAGGAGCACATTGTCAATTTCACTACTAGTCAGCTCAATGGAGGAAAATAGGTCCCGATAATAAGTTTCTATACTCGCGACAATCTCAGATTCATCTGTGACCCATCTTCCATTCTAATCCACCACACCCTTTATAGAATTCTTTTTCTGCCGATTTGAAAAAGACTTTATCATTATTGTTAGTTAATAAAACATAAAATCCAAAACAAAAAGGAGCAATATATGTATGTAAATAAAGGAAATCGGTTGGAGAAAAATTAGCAAATTAAATAGATGGGTAAACTTAGCTTTCAAATTTCTACAATGATTTGATATCTTCCCCATTAATTTACAGGATTTTTTTTATTTTTCTTTTTATTTCATCGTAACTCCATGCCTAAGCGATATTATATTGTCTGTTTTGCGTGCCAAATTAATCTCAGCCAAAGTTATGGCATTGATCTCCAGAAAACGAAAAGTTTCTATCGAATAGTCCCTCTATTACATGTGTGTATCTGTAGTTATGTACGTAAATTTTCTTGTTCTTTTTTCTTTTTTTTTTTTCCCTTCTGTTAAGGCTTGAAGGGACATATAAATCTATTCTATCCAGAGTAGGTTGTTGTAAAAAGAATTCTGCTTATATGTAGGAAAGAAAAAAAAAAAAAAAAGAAAGAAAAAAAGAAGAAGGCAAAAGCTATTGCTTTCTAGTCCATCCTATAGTCGTTGCCGTACGTGTCAACAGAGCGGGAACAATTGAACAATAAATCCATTAATAATTTACCGAAATAGTTATGTTATTTACAAAATGTTCTCATGACCACTTATGTTTAAATCCATTAAAAGTTAAAACATTTCACCCTTAATGTGACAATTCATGCAAAATTTTCGGTTATTATATATGCAATGCAGATGTAATTATTTATCTATGTTAAATAACAAAAATTATTGGTCAATTATTGTTCAATTTTATTATCAGGGATCAAAAAATAAAAGAAACTAAAATTTAAAGAGACAAAACTGTAACAGTTGTTCCTGACTCATTGATAGTTGATGTTTGATATTTTGGTTTTAAAATATAATGAACAAGATATAGTTACCAAACATAATTTTTGTTTTGTTTTCTGTTGTTGTTATTTATTGAGACATGTTTGGAGTTTATGAATAACAGTAATAGGGGCCCTAGAGACCATTTTAACCGACTTTTTGGTTCAAAACAACTGAACCACAAAAGACACCTATAAGCTAAAGAACCACTTGTCGTTAGATTCCAAGCCATTTCACAAGAAAAGTTGAATTAATAGCTATAAGTCTCAGGATAGACGACCATCTGATTTAGAAAAACAAAATTTATAGGAAGAAAGCTGAACAATCTTACGAGAGTCAACAGAACCCGTCCATAAAAATTCTCATTGCAGTTTCCCAAATTGAAGCAAAGGTTTTGACAATATTAATTACGTATCATAAAATCGTGATTAAGCGAACAAGCACTTTGTACTAATAATATTGTTATATTATTTTGATAACAATAAACGTTAACTAAACCTTTCCCTCGATTAATAACAACGTAAAATTCAAAGAAAAAGATTGTAGAAAGCGCTAACTTGCTTGATTGCATAGTCTCTTAGCCTCATATTAGGCTTGAAATTAGTTCCGGTCCTGGTTTTAATCGAACCGGCGGGTATGTTTTCTTTTTAATTTTTTTGACGAATAATTAGGGCCTGTTTGATTCCGTTTTCGTTTCCGGTTTTCACATTTTCCAAGAACTAAATTCCTCTGCCTCCCCCCACGCGTCTCTGACTGCGCCCCCCTCCCCCCACGCGTCTCCGACTGCGTCCCCCTCCCCCCACTCGTCTCTGTTGATTGATGAGGTAAGGAAATGGGTTGATTGTTTATTTAATAATTATTAGTTTAAATATTATTACACATGTTTTTAAAAAGTAAACTACCAAATGCAATTTTAATTTTTTTAAAATTGAAAACAATCTCAGAATAAAACTATCAAACGTATTTTCAGAAATGATTCCAAAATGAAAATAAAAACGTTTTTGTTTTCATTTTCATACAAAAAACAAAAACGTTTTGGAACCAATTCGAAACGCACCCTTAGTTACTCTAATTTGTCTCATATAAGACTTCTATTAAGCCTTGCCTTTAAATTGAACCCTAGTTACTGATGAAATATGTGTTTGACCATTTTTCTTCGTATGTTCACGTAAATTACCAGAAAGAGTTCACCACTAAAACAACCAAATATAGCAGCTTAATTAATTGTAATAGCTTAATATCTCATAAATTGGGTAATAGATTGCATATTAGGCTTTATCGCAGCCAATTACAACAATCATAACGGTACAAAATAAGCGCCGATAATTATAATACGTAAGCATTATAACAAAATAAGCTAGTAATTAAAGCCTGGTGAAGTGGATTGAGAAGATCCATCCATCACATATATGGCTTATATGTATATATGTATATATAGATTAATATGATATCTTCATTGATCAATTGTTGGATATGAGGCCTGCATGGCAATGCCGCAAAGACCTCCTTTGGTGCCACTGCCTCTCAGAATCCTTAAATAGCCCTTCTCACCCCAGTCTTCTCCCCACGAATTCTTCACCAACCAGTAATCCGTGCCGTCTTCAGTTGTTCCATAACCAACAGCAAGAACACCGTGGTTGAGCTCGGTCCCACAGTTGTCATGTAAGACCCCTCCAGGATAGAACTGGAAATTAGTTGCATCGACGGCAACGGAGACCGGCTGCTTCGACACCGCCTGCTGTAATGCCTCCTCACTATTCGCAGGCACATCTTCATAGCCAGTGATCTGAGCGGCCGAGTCGTCTGCATTCTCACTAGCTTGACAAGCTCCCTGATCATTTTCCTTATATGGGTATTTGTCTTCCGTGGTTATCCCGTGTTGTTTAATGTACTCAAAGGCGTTGTCCATGAGACCTCCGCTGCAACCATTATTGCCATTTTTGGAGCAATCTACAAGTTGTTGCGCTGACAATGAGACCAATTTGTCCCTTTTGATTTTTGTTATTCCCTCCACGGCTCCTACTGCTGAGAATGCCCAGCAACATCCTGCGCAAGAAAATGACCGTTACTTGTTATTTCTTCATCAATTATTCCAAAAAACTTAATAATACATAGGATCTTAAGTTGACTAAAATATTAGAGTACTGTGCGGTAATCATTAATCAATTAATTCCTTGAACGTCTCTTGCTCTTATGTCATATTATTAAATTTGATATCATAAGGCATAGATTCTCCTAAAAGGAAAAGGAAGTTTAGGGAAATATCAAATAAGCGGTGCGTTTCTTACCACATTGACCTTGTTGTTTTACTGGGGTGACAGCTCCGTTCTTCGTCCAGTCAACGGGAGTCGAAATATCAGTCACGTTTTCATACCTGAAACTCGTCTTGTATCCACTGGATGGGTTGTTCGAGCGGGCAGAAATCTTCAAGCCAGTGAAATTTTCAAGGAACTCATCCTGCGTCAAGTCTGCAAACTTGTTGATGCTCAATTTGTAAGTGCCGTTCCTTTCATTGTTGAACCTTTCCACATAATTCACGTTGTCCGTGAATATCTTGAAACGCTTTTCCTTCTCCGCGTCATTCTCATAAGTGCGTACGTACTGAAGCATCCACTGTTCAAACTTCTCGGTCATGAGGGACGGCGCTTCATGCAATGAACGGGACATTGTTTGAGATGCCCAAGTCCCCAAAATCAAGAACAAAACAGCTACCAAGGTGCTAATTTCACTTGTTGATGAGCCGGCCATTGTGATTGTAACTCAATTGGACCGATGTCTAATGACAATCAAGTGAATTTAAAGTGATGATGAGGTGTTGTGGAGAACCTTGCATTCTTGGTCACATACATATAGATCATATCAGCGTATATAGGATGGAATTTGTTGCGCATAAATTTCGGAGCTATACCCCACAAGATTGAAGTCTGAAAAAGAACTAAATTTCTTTTCCTTGGCGTGCATGGCACAATCAGAGTAAACAATTCGGCTGTCAAATATTGCGTCTATACGAAGTTCGTCATGTCTGAATCTAGATATATACTCCGAAATGCTTACGGGAATTTACTTCGAAGTTTGAAGCTGTAGCCTAGTTACTAGCTGGTGTTTATATCTATCGTAAACCATACGGGAGAAAAAAGTACAGCGAGCAAGTAATATATTTGGCCTCTATGTCCTTTCCGTCAATTGGTGATTATTTTGTCAATAATATATATATCCAGAAAATTTACGTTAATCATATTAGTTGCTCGAGTTTATGCGTGAATTGTGCTGATGACATGCACTGTTCTTGGTTTGCCCTTTAATTTGTCTGTTATTTTGCTCTGCATTCAGACTTTTCCTACACATTGCGACTTCAAGAAGGCGTACAGTAAATTAATGAGAAGTCAAAAGGCACATAAATTAATCGATGGCATGTGTTTACTCGATTATCAATCGAAAAGTAAAGAAAATATAAATGCCAAATATTCAACTTTCAAAATGATGTGAGATCTTCCCCATTCTACCGCAATTTCCTTTTCATGGGTAACTTCATTTCGCAGTTGCAATTAATATTAATCGTGTGTGATACTTGCATGCCAATTATTCCATAACAGAATTTTAGCGTTGATCATGCGTACCCGGTGCATGGCAGTTAGTGGCTTTTACATTCCACAAAATATTTCTAGAAAGAAAATGTTGCTGTCTAATTTTGTCTTGCTTTTATATCTATAGGTGTGATTTTAATGGTCCCTCTAATATTTACTTATTTGAGGGTATTATTTTATCCCATCGATTAGATGGTCATAATAAATTGGGTACGTAATTGACAAAAAAAATATATGATAATTAATAAGATTAAATTCTTATCACAACACATCATTAAATTTCTATATTTAATGAGCAATAACTAATACAAATATAGCCATTAAAAACTCATTCACATATATAAACACACACATATACACGGGCTGAGAAGAAGGTTGGCCCAGTTCCATCCGAAAGTTTTTAAAAGATGTATACTATAATGGCATTTTTATAATTACATAAAATGCCCGCTAATGATGTTGTATTTATAAAAATATCGACTATTATACAACATTATAAAAATGCCAGTTTGTATTTTATAAGGCATATGTTTTTCCGGAATTGCCCTTATTGAGTATTTTAAGCATGTCCTTATTTGGTTGGTTTAGTTTTTTTTAGACTGATTTTTTATCTTATAATTTAGATATTTACTTTTCCATTTTACAACCAATTATTTTGATTATATTGTCGTTGTTTTGTATTCTTTTACTTTCCTCTTATTTCCCATTTTGTGTCCTGCATTCTTTGTTGCTCATCGTTTTTAGGTTACAGAGATTGGCGCTTCATGCAATGAACGGGACATTGTTTGAGATGCCCAAGTCCCCAAAATCAAGAACAAAACAGCTACCAAGGTGCTAATTTCACTTGTTGATGAGCCGGCCATTGTGATTGTAACTCAATTGGACCGATGTCTAATGACAATCAAGTGAATTTAAAGTGATGATGAGGTGTTGTGGAGAACCTTGCATTCTTGGTCACATACATATAGATCATATCAGCGTATATAGGATGGAATTTGTTGCGCATAAATTTCGGAGCTATACCCCACAAGATTGAAGTCTGAAAAAGAACTAAATTTCTTTTCCTTGGCGTGCATGGCACAATCAGAGTAAACAATTCGGCTGTCAAATATTGCGTCTATACGAAGTTCGTCATGTCTGAATCTAGATATATACTCCGAAATGCTTACGGGAATTTACTTCGAAGTTTGAAGCTGTAGCCTAGTTACTAGCTGGTGTTTATATCTATCGTAAACCATACGGGAGAAAAAAGTACAGCGAGCAAGTAATATATTTGGCCTCTATGTCCTTTCCGTCAATTGGTGATTATTTTGTCAATAATATATATATCCAGAAAATTTACGTTAATCATATTAGTTGCTCGAGTTTATGCGTGAATTGTGCTGATGACATGCACTGTTCTTGGTTTGCCCTTTAATTTGTCTGTTATTTTGCTCTGCATTCAGACTTTTCCTACACATTGCGACTTCAAGAAGGCGTACAGTAAATTAATGAGAAGTCAAAAGGCACATAAATTAATCGATGGCATGTGTTTACTCGATTATCAATCGAAAAGTAAAGAAAATATAAATGCCAAATATTCAACTTTCAAAATGATGTGAGATCTTCCCCATTCTACCGCAATTTCCTTTTCATGGGTAACTTCATTTCGCAGTTGCAATTAATATTAATCGTGTGTGATACTTGCATGCCAATTATTCCATAACAGAATTTTAGCGTTGATCATGCGTACCCGGTGCATGGCAGTTAGTGGCTTTTACATTCCACAAAATATTTCTAGAAAGAAAATGTTGCTGTCTAATTTTGTCTTGCTTTTATATCTATAGGTGTGATTTTAATGGTCCCTCTAATATTTACTTATTTGAGGGTATTATTTTATCCCATCGATTAGATGGTCATAATAAATTGGGTACGTAATTGACAAAAAAAATATATGATAATTAATAAGATTAAATTCTTATCACAACACATCATTAAATTTCTATATTTAATGAGCAATAACTAATACAAATATAGCCATTAAAAACTCATTCACATATATAAACACACACATATACACGGGCTGAGAAGAAGGTTGGCCCAGTTCCATCCGAAAGTTTTTAAAAGATGTATACTATAATGGCATTTTTATAATTACATAAAATGCCCGCTAATGATGTTGTATTTATAAAAATATCGACTATTATACAACATTATAAAAATGCCAGTTTGTATTTTATAAGGCATATGTTTTTCCGGAATTGCCCTTATTGAGTATTTTAAGCATGTCCTTATTTGGTTGGTTTAGTTTTTTTTAGACTGATTTTTTATCTTATAATTTAGATATTTACTTTTCCATTTTACAACCAATTATTTTGATTATATTGTCGTTGTTTTGTATTCTTTTACTTTCCTCTTATTTCCCATTTTGTGTCCTGCATTCTTTGTTGCTCATCGTTTTTAGGTTACAGAGATTGGTGTTTCCCATTTTCGTGTATGTTGACATGTCCAGGTATAGTTTTTTTTTTATTTTTAATAACGTGTTTTCTTAGGGTTTTTTTTTTCATAGTCGTTTGTTCTAATGAAAAGAGTTTTATTTATTTATTTTTGGGTTCATTTGTATCGTTAATTCTGTTTCATAATGAAATTTTATATATTTTTCTGGCTTAATGCTTTCATCATTTAAATAATGAAATTATCTACTCTTATTTCCTATAATACAATTCCATGTTTCATATCTAATTTAATATTCAATGTTTATTTTCAGATGACTGTTTTCATTTTCGTTTGTAATTTTATTTCATTATGTTCTATTCATTATTTTAGAGAAAATATCTATAGTCTATTCAATATTCTTGAGAAAATACTTACTCTTTATGTACTTTCTTTTACTATTTGACTTTTAACGTTTCTTCTTTATGTGGATTTTCTCTTTTCCATATAGTATGATCATGTTTCCTATTTAGTGTGATGCTTTTTGGTGAGTTTCTGTGAGTGTTATTTCCCATTTGTTTGTTCTCTATATTTATTACTGTGTAATTATTTTTTTAATAAAAATATTCATTTTTTCCCATTTCATTTTTCTTCATTAGTTCGACTTTCTTTTTTTCCTCAATTGTTCATATTTCAATAGTTGTTTAAATGTTCTTTTGTTATTATCTTCATTTCATTTATCTTCATTTGTAATTACTGTCATTATTTTAGAGAAAATATTTTCTGTCTGTTCATATTTTCTTGTGAGCTTTTATGTTTTTTCTTTTTTAGCATTTTTATTTTATTATGGTTTGATCATATTTTTTCTTTATTGTAATGTTTTTTTGATGATTTTCCGTGAATGATATTACTTATTGTTTTGTATTTTGATGATTTTCCGTGGAAGTTTGTTCTTTGTTTTTTTTCTTTTCTTGTTTAAATAAAAGAGTTGACTTCAAACTAAACAACTTCATTAAAAGTCCATATTACAAATTTATAATGTTTAATGTTTAGATTTTGTCTCACTTTTTATACCTTTTTTGTGGTTTAATTATTTGTTTCATTTTTTATTATACGACGATAAAAATGTCTTTATATATGTGATAGTCGATGATTTTGTAAATAAATTATGAAATAGGCATTTTTTAAAGTAAGGTTCTCATGATCGACATTTATGTAAATCACCCTATAAAAAGACTACCGTCTCGACCCGAATAGACTTTTGGGTTTAGATCCTTGGCCTAGTCAAACTAAGCTTTTGTGTAGGCCACACCAAGCCTAGTCTAAAAAAAGGGCTTTGGTCCGTCATGTTGGGCTCAACCTAAATTGACCGCCGTAGTTGTAACTGTCATTTTATGTTTTAGATCTACAATTTCAAAGCGGCAACTGTTGACAAAAAAATAAAAGAAATAAAAAAAACTAAAAAACTTGTTCTGAGTTCAATTATTCGTGTGCGCATTCTGAAAGGGACGTTTTTCTAAGGTAGAAAGAATGATGCAAGAAAATACTTCTAACGACCCACACCTACACTTAGTATATATATTATAGTGTCTGTTTTGAGCCTAAGGTTGATGGTTTTGCTCTTGATATTTTATTTCAATATGTATCATACCATCGTAAGATGATGTCCTTACAGTTTATAAACCATCACTTATAATCTTACTCATGCGATGTGAGATTGTACTGTAACAACCCGATCTGACAAGCCATTACTACTTAATTTTCATAGTGTAAATATTAAAAAAAAATATGTACTTAAAAGAATGTATTAAGAAAATTTTGCAATATTTTTTTTTTTTCAAAAACATTAATGTTAAAGTACATAGTTAAAAGTCTTAACATCAAAATAAAAATTGAGAATACTTTTTAACATGGAATATCTTGCTTTGCAATAATCTCTTATTGTTAGAACCTTTACTTGATAGTTCCTATCTTGGAACCTAACTTTTTTGATGAAGGACTCATCTCCTTTTTCATTAACTTAATCAGTTCTAACAAACGAGAGAGGTTCTCATTGAGCTTGTAAAACACTTGTTGCAAAACTTGAAGGAAACATAAAATTATATAAGCATTTTAAATAGACATTTTTTTTATAAATTCTCTTAAACATTTACCATAGACAATATCTTATTTAGAATGTTATTTTCAAGAAAAACTCATTAAAATAGAAATAAAAAAATTAAACCTTGTAAATTCCATAATCGGGCAATTTAGACAAATTTCTGAACTTACTTAATTCCTTAGGTAGTTATCGGATACTTAATTAGATAGGTTTATGCCAGTTTTGTTGTATATTTTGCTGCTTAGTAAATCTACTTAAATATAACAATCCCAAAATAATAAACATAATATCAAAATAAACTTTTAGGAGTAATTTGTGCAAAAGCATTCAATGGCTCGACCTATCACCCTTGTAACAGATTGTGAGAACACTTTTGAATTGGTTCTTCAGGAGAAGATTTCTTTGGTTTCGGGAGGAAACCGTCAAGTCGAGTGGTGCTCGCTGATCAAGCTTTCTAAGGAGATTCTAGGCAACGGCGACATCGTCAAGGAGGGAGTCGTTGAGTGTGTAAGACCGTTCGGTCCTTTGTAATCTTTTGAACTTAGTGGATTGATCATTGTCTAGGCGTGGCCCCGCAGAGAAGGTGTGCGCACCGAACTGCGATATCATTTTTTTTGTGTCCTTTACGTTTATGCATTAGTTTCCTGCTTTACTGTTTTGCTGGTTTAATTTTAGATTTTATGTCACGAAAAATGATACAGTAAAGTGTTGCAACACCACTTGTGACACCAGGATAAAAACGGACCTAACAATAATTTTTTTTTGTTAAGCTAAAATCTTATTAGTTGTTGTGGGTGGTGAATTCTTGACAATTAATTAGAAATTTTCAGAAACCCATCGTTTCTTTTATTTTTGACCCCAAACATTTTTAAAATCATGCTTTGGACTCCATGTTTTTAAAAAGAATTATGTCTTAGATTCCAAATTTGCCAAAATTATAAATTTGGCCCCGAAATTAGATTTTTATAAAAATTTCCTCCATAAGTAATTTCAATGCTCTGATTAAGAATTCAATGCTAGAAATTCCATCCAAAATTTTATTTTGTTAGTCTACACCATCTCTTACATTAAAACAATTTATACCACCGCTTTCACGTTGGTCTCGTACCATAATGGTGTTTCATGATCTTCACTTGATTATTTAAAAAAATTGAGTAACTCGTAATTTCTCAAATCTCTAAAGGCTCAAAATTAATTATTTTTTATTCTTGCACATCGTAGAATATCATAAACTAATTATCAAAATAATCGAGTAACCACAAAGTCGTTGATCATTAACTTAAATAAGAAATCTCAATAATTCCTTGTCATACATCAAACATATTCATAAACATAAAGTTTAGGGTATTACATGTACAGCTTATCATGTCTTCGCCCCTTTTCCTTGATCAAGAAATTAATGATTATCACACACTTGAACTTAATTGAGGGACGAACCTGGTGGCTTGGACCTTGAAAAAATACCTGAAACCATATGTTAAATACGCCCACATATTCGTTAGAGACTCCTCGCTAAATAAGGAGCCAAATAATAATATGCCTTAGAGTGGATTCCTGAGTATAGTCCTCAATGGTACTTAAGAGATTTGATTACACAATCTCCTATCATTGGAACTTTTGAAAGGATTTATTGTGTTACTCCTACATTATTTCCCATTATTTGAAATGACAGTACTAGATAATTTGATTTGATGATCACTTAAATAAATGGATGGTTTTGAGCGATATTTAATTAACTAACTAGTAAAGCTGTTATTCAATGAATTGGAGTATATTTTAGCATGCATGATATATATGTATACATATACATATTGAATGAAAGACGTACTTTTATGCAAGAACTTTAAATCAGCCATTACAAAGAAGCTAATGAATCTAGGACAAGAACCAATCAAACAAAAATTTGATGAACTAGAGAAAGGAAAAGCAGTTAACATGGATAATATTTTATATGTGATAGCTATATTCCTTTTCATAGTTCTTTTTGAAAGAACCTTTTCAAAGTTCTGTTATTTCTGCATGTGTAGAAAAGAAATAAAAAAAAAAATAACAGCAATTTTTAAAAGGAAATTGCAAAGGGAATAAAAATTAATAACATGTGTATTTAAGACAAAAAGTACAAAAATCTTGGAGGGTAGCCTGCACCATGCATTTTTCTCATAACTGTCCCTATTATCGTCACTATTTCCACTCACATGTTTTTAATAAATGCTATTAAAATACTTTATATTTTTTTCTTCAATAAAGTATAAAAATGGCTAATTCCTATAATTAATTTTAAACGTGTCAATATTTGTTATAATTACTTTCAGAAAACTGCTGTATTGCAATTTCTGTTTCTTAAAAGTGAGCCTAGATCACCATGGTGCAAGTTTTACTTGGTCAGTTTTGTAAATTATCCACTCAATCATGTATCACTTTGCCCAATGAACTCTCTTGTGACTCATGCAAACTTGTGCTGCTGAGGCTCCATCCATATTATGGGAGAATGTGCGTGCGTCTATATATATATATATACACGCTTGTATTAGGGCCTATATATATATAGTGATCTACCAAACACAAAGCCTGGCTAGATCCTTGTGGGGAACAGATACCAATTGCCTTCTCAGGAATTGAAACGAGTTTGACCAGTACAGCTACTAGTGTGTATACACACACACACATATTTATGTACATGTATGTATGTATTGAACTTCAAGAGTCCAATGGATAAATATCATAAATACAAAGATAAACGGATAACAACATGAAAATTATATCATATTATGATCAATATCTATTTATATATACATAGAAATGAGCGCTTACATGACATAATGAGTACGCACGTCGTAGACACAAACGTTATCTTAAAACACAACAAACAGCAAGTAAATTCCTACTAGGTGAAGTAGATGCATAACTCAATTCACCTTTTGCCATATACGAATTCAATTTCAAGCAGAAGGATAAGAAGCTTCCATGGCAATCCCACAGAGACCTTCCTCAGCATCAACATCTCTCTCCATTCTAATATATCCCTCCTCACCCCAACTCGAACCCCACGAGTTCTTCACCAACCAATACTTCGTACCGTCCTCGGTTTTCCCGTAACCAACGGCAGTGACACCATGGTCAAGTTCCGTCCCGCATTCTCCGGTGAAGACTCCGCTCGAGTATAACTGGAAGTCCGACCCGCCGGCATCAATGGCGACGGAGACGGGCTGGTTGGCGACTGCCTTTTGCAGCGCCTTCTCGCTGTTGGCGGGCACGTCTTCGTGGCCGGTGATTGAGGCTGCATGGGAGGATGCTTTCTTTTTGTTGCAGGTTTCGTCGACGCCCTTGTAAGGGTACTTTGATTCCGTTGTGAGGCCTTCGTTTCCGAGGATGAAATCGAAGGCGTCGTCCATGAGACCGCCCTCGCAGCCTTGGTCGGTGCCGCTTGTGTCGCAGTCGACTAGCTCTTGCTCGGAGAGGGAGATCAGCTTTCCCGTAGTCAGCTGTGTGATTCCTTCCATGGCTGCCACTGCAGAGAAGGCCCAGCAACATCCTGTATATATATCACAATAAGATCAGAAGTCAATGCTAAAGTAGTAGAGAATATTATTTACCAGCAATATTCATCCTTATCCTAACACCGAAACCTAGGATTATATTTAGTTAACATGTATTTTTTTTTTTTTGTTGGCAGAAAGTACCATTAGATTATTGGCTTATAGCAATAGGGACTTCTACATTTATAATACCACAATGAATAAAAAAGGACAAAGGAGCACAAGTGATGTTAGAACAACCATTAACATCCTCTAAAAAGTTGTTTGGGACACCGTATGAGCAAAGCACGATAATTAATAAAACGTCAGTATATCTTCTATTAATTGTGTTGTTTTGCGCCATTGTACTATTTTCATACAATACTATGAGACTTATTTGGTCTCACATTTGATTTTTCATGTTGTTGCACACAAACTCCACTAATAATAATATGATGCCAAGTAATGTTACTAGCAATTTGGCATTATTGATGTTAAAATGGACTACTTCATTGTACGACTATAATTAAATAAAGTAATTCATCATCAAATACCATATAAATATATATATATATATATATCTAAGGCGGTTATATATTCAGATTTTAACACCATTAAAATACTTACTTATCCTTTCATTAGTATTAACAAAAATTAGCGAGCATTTTATCGCTTAAAAAGTTCAAAGTTTAGGGGAAAAGTTTATAATTACCACATTGACCCTGGTCCTTGACGGGGGTGACTGCTCCCTTCTTTCTCCAATCCACGGAGGATGGAACTTTAGTGACACTTTCATATCTAAATGATGGGTTGATCGGCCTAGGAATAGGGGACCTTTTGTATCCATTGCGAGAAGCCCGGAATTCTTCATTCGTTTGGTCTGCAAATTCATTGATGCCCAACTTGTAAGGCTTATTCCCAGCTTTGTTAACGGACTCTATGTACTCGACATTGCTCTTGAATATCTGAAAGCGTTTTTCCTTCTCTGAATCATCCTTGTATGTGCGGCCGTAGCGAGCCATCCACTGCTCGTGTCTTTCGGACATGGAATTAGCGTCTTCATGCAGTGCGCGGCCATTAGCTAGGGCTGCCCACATGCCAAGGACTAAAAGTGACACAAAGATTGATGTCTTTTGAAGTGTCAAAGCCATTGCTTGTTGGTTAAGTAACAATTGTGCTTATAAAAACTTGGATGAGAAAGGCACATTTTGATCCTAGAGAAATTGAGATTATATATAGAGAGAACAAGCCTGAGACAGTGATATGAACCAAGTGATGACAAGGTTCGCTTCCCTGGTTTGTCCGGCAAATTGGAATGAATGGACAACTAAGTTCCGATTGCGTACGTTTTCTTCATAGACTAACCAATACTTTTCATGTAATTGATTAATATTTTTATTTTATAAAACTATATGGTTTTGCTTCACGGTTTGGTTATAGTAACAAGAGGGTTTAGTCCAATCTTCAAAAAGCCATCATGTTACTAAACCATAAAAAAAAATCTCCAAAAGGAAAAAAAGGGTTTAATTTATTATAAAAAAAACTTCAAAAAGGAAAAAAAAAAAAAAGTTTAATCGGCAGTTTGGAGCCCTACTTTTGAGCGCATTGGAAGATTTATTATAATGGCAAATTGCCAAGTTATATTTTCTGTTTTATTTTAAGGAGTCTCTTATAGGACAAGAAAACATGAACAACTAGTAATTTTTTATTTTTCAACCATAAAATTTGTATTAAAAACTATTTATTCTGTATATTTTTTTAAGTTAATATGATTTTAATCATATCTAACAATAAAAAATTAACACTACCGATATAGAGACGTTCGAGGGAAAGTTCTTTTATTTTAATGCAATATTCCAAATCCCAAACGTTATTAATTTTAAGGTAATGCCTTGCATGGTCTACTTGTCTGCTCGTCCCGTCATCCAGACTGGTTCTTTGTCATTAACATGATTTCTTTCTTCACCAATTTACTTCGTTGGAACTCTTCTGATTTTTTAAATTTCTTCCTTTCGAGCATACAAGTGTTGCAAGCAGCAGTAGAACAAAAATCCGTGGATTTTTTTTTTTTCTTTTTGCTGAAAAAAAAATATAAACAATAAATGTTACCCTACAAAACTCTTTGGAAGCAAAAAATAAAATAAAATAACATAAAATGCCACGTTCTGAAGTATTTTTTGCATATACAAGACATGTACATGTAGGTACATGGGCTTAATTACTCATCTTCTCTGGACCCCGAACGGATGCCTAAGTTTATGCGGCATTGGAAAGCACCTTCGGAAATGCCATCACCATTTCCCAAACATGTGGGGCGAATATAATTTCTCCAATTCAATTGAATGAAGATTTCCATTTGCGTAACAGAATTTCCACAAAAGTGGGACAAATAAACTGTAATTACATAAGAGATTGAAGATTTTCACATTTCCATTTGCGTAACCAAGAGATTTTCACAAAAGTGGATCTGCAAAGTCATGTTGGTTAGAATCCCTGTTCATCAGAAATAAAAACATTTGTACCAAAAAGGAATGCAAGAATTCAACCTCTCTGTTATAATTTTAAACTATAAAAAGCTACCAATGCAAAATGCACAAATAAGTGCCTCAAATTGGTTTTGGAAAAGTAACAATTTTGTGTTTTTTGGTAAGTTAATATTTTCAGTTTTTGAGCAATGGTTACTTTATGGTTTATTAAGAGTCTATAAATAAGTGTTTTGTATAGGGGTTTGTGTGGAGAGAAAAAGTGGAAAAAAAGCGAGTGCCTCCATTTGAGAGAAAGAGAGAAGTTTGAGAAGAGAGATAAACAAAGGGTGTAAGAGTTTTGGGTAGAGAGAGAGATTGAGAAAATTGTTGAGTCTGTAATTCTGAAATTGTTAGTGATTTTTTTCTCTCTTTTTTAGACGTAGGAAATTTTTTCGAACCACCAAAATCTTTGTATTATCTACTTTTCTGTTATTTATCTTTCTATTTATTTTTCCGCTGCGTGAGTATAAGAGTGTGTTTTTCCCCAACAAGAGAAAAGTGCGGTATGAGGGGGGAGATTGTTGAGAAAAGTGCATGTGTGTGTTGTCCCACGTGGAAAGTGGATGAGAATGTAAAATAATTTATATACATGGAAGGACCTTAGACCCGATATGTTAACATTTTGGGTCAAATTGGGCTGTTGAAGTGTGTTAGGCCAGTTTCACATGTGGAATCTCTCCAACACTCCAAGTGTACGATGGATTGTAGCCCACCTCCACATCAAGGATTGTGGTATGAGGAAAATATTTTGCTTTAAACACACGAGCCACCAAAGAGTCAGGAATATTCTGAATTAATCTCCAGCTTTGCATGGCTAGAAGGGCTTGATTGAAAGCAGTCAAATCCCAAAAGCCTATCCCACCTTCCCCCTTAGGTTTACAAAGCCTCTCCCATCTCATCCAGTGAATCCTCCTATCATTCTCATCTCCACCCCACCAAAGCCTCGAGATAAGGGCTTGAGTATCACTACATAGCGATTGAGGAATATAGAACACACTGAGTGTATAAGTAGCGGTTGCTTACACAACTGCTACAATAAGAATCTCTCCTTGCCATAGAAAAGAACTTCCCTCTCCACAAGTGTAATTTCCTCACCACACTATCCTTCACCATATTGAAAGTAGCCCTTTTATTCTTCCCCACAAAGGAAGGTAACCCCAAGTATTTGTCATGGGAAATGTTATGATCAGAGAAACCATATCAATTTTGCAATTCCGCTTTAACCTCCTCCTGCACATTCCGGCTAAAAGTAATTTTAGATTTCCGAAAATTAATTACCTAATCCGAAATCTTAGCGAATGAAGAACATCCACAATTGCTCTGCCCTCTTGAGAAGTTGATTTATTAAAAATAATAGAGTCGTCTACAAAAAGAAGATAACCGACTCTAGGAGCATTCTTAGCTATCGCCACCCCTGAAATAAGTCCAGAAGCATCCGCATGGCATAAGAGTGTTGTAAGGCCTTCCACACATAAAACGAAGAGATAAAGAGAAAGCGGGCA